CATCCCATATATAGTTTAAGATATCTTCTTAATCGCAAAATAACTGTAGAGGAACCCATTAAACGCAGAGGTCCTCCTCAATGCCTAAATTGCCAAGAGTTCGGTCACACCAGAACTTTCTGCAAATTACCATCTGTTTGTGTGAGAAGCGGAGACATCCATAAAAGCCAAGATTGTCCCCACCCAAAAACAGATAACAATAAAAGAAAATGCAGTAACTGTGGTCAAAATCACACTGCTAACTATCGCGGATGTCCAGTAAATAAAAATAATGAAAATCTGCAAACAAATAATGAAAATAATACCACGTTATTTTCATATGCACATGCATTAAAAGAGGGTGTACCCGCACCCGAAACAAATTCTCAAAGCTCTATTGAGAATTCAATTCAAACCATGAACAGTTTCCCTAAGAATTTGTTTTTGGAATGCTAACGGCCTTAGCCAACACAAGAATGAAGTTGAACAATTCCTGCTACTTCAGGAAATTGACGTACTACTCGTCTCTGAAACACACTTTACCCTAAAGAATTGTTTCAGAATTAACGGATACTACACTTACGATACAAAACATCCAAGTGGCAGAGCCTGTGGTGGAACAGCGATATTAGTGAGAAAAAATATTAGAAATTTCCCAATGCCAGAATACAAAAAGGACCATATCCAGGCCACCTCTATAAATATACATGATAGCAGAGTTACAATATCTTCAATATATTGTCCTCCTAGGTATAATATTAATCGAGAGCAGTTTCTCGATTACTTTAAAACTCTTGCAAAACATACATTTTGGGGCTCTCGCCTCATTACAAATAAATTGGAAAACTATTGTTCTTGTTTCCCTAACAAGATGACGAACTGGTTAAAGTATAAAATGTATGTCAGCTCACACTTGCCACAAAACATTTCATTGAAAAATGACCATGAAATACAATCCGCTGTCGATATATTTACGGATATCTTACAAGATGCTGTCAAAGTTTCTACACCACCAGTCACCTTGGGATACTACAAAAATTCGAAATGTCCTAGGAACATTGAGTCTCTAATTAAAGAAAAGAGAACACTCAGGCGTCAATGGCAACAATCGCGATCTCCAAACATAAAGGTTAAACTTAATCAGTGCCAAAGAAGACTTCACATCGCCTTAAAAAATAATAAGGAATATAATCTGAGAAATTATCTCAAAAACTTAGACCCTACTAAGAAAACAGAATATAGTCTCTGGAAAGCTGTTAAACATATGCAATGCCCTATTGCATATGAGTCACCCATACGCCTCCAGAATGGTCAATGGGCAAAAAATACGTCAGAAAAACTTGAAGCATTCGCCAATCACTTGGAGAATGTGTTTACTGAAAATGATACAGATTCTTCTATTAGTGCTAACATTATAAATAATGTGGTTCCACGCCCAATAAAATTCCGGTTCTTTACCGTGAAGACGACAATCAAAGGTCTAAAGGCAGGAAAATCACCTGGTATAGATAAAATTACTACCACGATGATAAGTAACCTGCCCAATTCAGCACTGAGAATTATTTTGTTCATCTTTAACTCGATGCTACGTATTGGATATTTCCCTACCTCATGGAAAGTATCCGAAATTGTTATGATACCAATACCGGGAAAAGATGTCACTCAAGTGACATCATACCGTCCCATTAGCCTGTTGTCTATATTCTCAAAACTTTTTGAAAAGTTATTGCTTGAAAGCCTTATACTACACCTTAACGATAATTGCATTATTCCTGACCATCAGTTTGGTTTCAGAAGAAAGCACAGCACTATCGAACAGGTACATCGAATAACTACTCTTATTCGGAAGGCCTTCGAGAGCAATGGGAAAAAATTTTCAGTATTCAGTAAATTTTACTGATTACTGCAAAAAATTGCAATAAATTTGCTGGTTACTGCAGAAAAATGCAGTATTTTACTGCACTAATTTACTAACTAATTTACTAATTTGGGTTGAAAATTTTACTGATTACTGAAAAAAATTTCAGTATTCAGTAAGATTTGCATTACCAGTATTTTTTACTGTTTACTGAAATTTTTTTCAGTATTCAGTAAAATTTTACTGAATACTGTAATTTTTTCAGTAATCAGTAAAAATTTACTGAATACTGAAAATTTTATCAGTGACCAGTAAAGATATACTGAACACTAAATTTTTTTTCAGTAACCAGTAAAATTATACTGCAGTGTGCCCATGTATGAATGGGAGTTAAAGTCATTATCCGAAGGGGACCTTATATGGGGGGTAACTTGTGTGTGTCGAATTTCATCGCTATATTAGTATTTGTAAGCCGGTAATGAGTATTAATGTCATTTTCTGAAGGGGGCCTTATATGGGGGGTAGGGTCATTTATGGACCGATCCTCACAACTTATTTATGCCGAGTAAAGCGATGAATACTCGTATAAAATGGTTATGGCTGTTAAAGCTGTTTTTCGGGGTCCACTTGTATGGGGGCTATGCGAAATCGTAGACCGATATTGCCCATTTGCAATACCAAACAAACCTTAGCTATAAGAAATATTTTTGGAAAAATTTATGTTCTCTAAGCTCTAGGCGTTTCCGTTCGAACTCTATCGTGCTTTCAACAGACAGACAGATGGACATGGCTAGATCATCTTAGAATTTAATAAGGACCCAGAATATATATACTTTTGTGGGTCTACGACCAATATTTCGATGTGTTACGAACGGAGTGACAAAATCAATATACGCCCCCATCTTTTTTGATGGAATCATATTAATTTAAAATATAATTAAATTGAACGAAATTATTAAATATTCTTTTCTGTGTATACATATATAAAAACTACCTTAGTAATTATAAAAATAACAAATAATCAAATTACATAAAATTTATTGTTATTTCTTGATTAAAATGAAAATTGTATTATTTTAAATCAAATTAATTTATGTTGAAAATAAAATGTTTCTTCCAAAAAATTCGTGTTATTATTGGGGGTACTATATAATTAAGAGACCATATTATGGTAATCGAAATGGCTACGAGGATCATGTTGTAATAAAATTTAAGCCATATTACGGTGGTTTCGACCATTTTATGATAAAACAAGTGAGTGTGTTATATTCGGCTGAGCCGAATCTCATATACCCACCCATCACTCATCAGGGTGACATTTCTCATCAAATTAACTGACCGTTTTTCATAAAAATTTTTTAGACCAATTTTGGTTCATACAAAACATCTTTACATCGCATTTACGTTCCTATAAAAGTTTCTTATATAAAATTTCATAACAGTTCACGTATTTTTAAGTCAGCAAAGATCATTAAAGTCCTCAATACCTTTGGTAGAGAGGTTTTAACTCGTATAAAAAATATGTGCGTCGAATTTCATCGCTTTTCTGTATTCTGTATTTTTAAGCCAGAAATGATCGTTTAAGTAATTTTTTGAAGCGCACCTTGTATGGGGAGTAGGGTCAATTATGGGCCAATCCACATAAAGTTTGATAGAGAGATTTTGGCTTCATTAAAACTTATGTGTATCGAATTTCACACACATACTTGTATTTGTAAGCCAGTAATGAGCGTTAAAGTCATATTCTGAAGGGGACCTTATATGGGGGTAGGGTCAATTATGGACCGATCAACATAAAATTTGGTAGAGAAGTTTTGGATCATAAGAGACTTACTTATGTCAAATTTCATTGTTATACTAGTATTTTTAAGCTAGTAATGAGCGTTAAACAAATTTTCTGTAAGGGGCCTTTTATGGGGGGTAGGGTCTATTATGAACCGATCCTCATAAAATTTGGTAGGAAGATTTTGGATCATATGAAACTTATTTATGTCGAATTTCATAGCTATACTTGTACTTTTGAAACAGATATGCCCATTAAAGCTGTTTTTCGGCGATCCCCTTGTATGGTGGCTATCCAAAAACGTTCCGTTCGGACTCTAGCGTGCTTTCAACAGACAGACAGACGGACGGACAGACATGGCTAGATTGTCTTAATTTAATAAGGATCCAAAATATATACACTTTTGTGGGTCTATGACCAATATTTCGATGTGTTACAAACGGAATGACAAAATTAATATACCCCCATCTTTTTTGATGGTGGGCATACAAATAAACACATTTTTTATTATATTATAATTGTGATCAGCATTTAATAATTAATTTAATATCTATAACATGTTTAAGTAGGGATAATGTAATGATAACTTCTAAGGATCATATTATGATCCTAATTGGGAAATATTTTACATGTTTCCTATAACCATTAGACCAATTATTAATGATAGTTTCAGATTATGGTTCCCTCCACTATAATTTTTCTCTGCGTGTAATTTTTTTCTTTAAATTTGTTTTGTTTAGTTCAATTGTATTTTTTCTTGAAAGAAGGGAAAGAAACAAATAAATAAATAAGAATTGGAGAAATAAACCGTTAGATTGCGAAAGTATCATTCTTAATCCCAGATATAAAAGGAATTTAACAATTACTTCTTATACAACAATGCTGTGAAAACACTCAAGCAAAGAATTGGGTCTAATTACCGAACACCATTGCTGCCAGTGATGAAATCATTTGATGTTATCAAAAAGGCATTTTTTCGTCCACTGGACAAATTGTCTCAGAACGGAGAACATTTTTAAAGCCAAACAAAGTACCGTCCATCGCTTTTTCACATAACGATTACGATTATTCAAATCGTTTTTGATATGTCGCATCTTAAACAAAAAATATAAGACCGATTGAACTAAAAGACTTTTAAGCACCACCCTAGATAAAAATTTAATTTGCAAATTTCAATTACTCCAGCAGTTAATTAACTATAATTAAATTTAAAAATTGTATTAATAATAATACATATTATCAAACTACATACATATATTTGGTTAATATTATATACAATTTTTTTGTTAAATATTTACATATATAGAATTAAAGCAATTTATCTTAAATAAGATTAATATATCACAATTTCGTATTTTGCCAACTGAATTATTGAAGTAATTAAAATACTGATAATGGTCCTAAAAATGTACTTAATAAATTTTGTTGTGTTAGCTGTTGCTGATGTTCAACTAGAAGGGCAGCAGTAGCAGATTGTTGAATTTGAAGATGAGCCGCTGCTTGCTGTTGGTGCATAAGAGCTAATTGCTGATGCAAACCATATGAATCTGGAGTCAGATGTTGAGAAACTGTAGCTGCAAAATTGACGTTAAATAATCCAGGAAAAGAAAATCCGCTTTCAAATGAATGGTTTTTATGGTTCTCCCCAAAATTACCAATGTCGTCTGATGTTTGATTTTTTTCCGGACCAATTAGGCTTTCAATTGTAAATGATCTCTTAGGTCGCTGTGGGTACGAAAATTGCTCAGTTGCTTCATATTCATTAATACGTGGCACACTGAAGCATGGTGTTGTGGCGAAAGGCGGGTTGTTAATATTATCCAATGGTAAGTCAAGGTTATTCTCCCATGTAGCAAAATTGGATTCAGCTTGCTGGTTTAATATGTGTTGAAATCCTGCCAACGTAGTCATTTCAACAGATAACAAGTCTGTTTCAATTTTTTTTATACGAAAGCGTTTCCGTCGGCGCAGCAAACTGCCGTTTTCAAACATATCAAAAGCTTTGGGGTGCAATGTCCAGAAACATCCTTTGCCAGCCTTACTGGAATGGCGAGGCACTTTTATAAAACAATCATTAAAGCTTAGATTATGTCGTAAAGAATTTTGCCACTTTTGTGTATTTTTTCGATAATAAGGAAATTTGTCCATTATATATTTGTAAATTTCACTTAATGGCAACATTTTCTGTGGAGAACTCCATATTGCCATGGCGGTCAATGATATATATGAAAATGGAGGCTTGAGGTCTCCATAACTTTCTTTTAATGGACGAGGCATTATTTGCAGATAATAAAAATTCAAATTTGTTTTATCGCTATTAAATCAATTAGTAATTTTTTATTATAATAATTATAACTGAATACTAAGTAAACGCTAAGTATGTGAAAACCACTTTTATAGTGTTGATTCGATGAGAACAAAATATAAACTGAACATATATTCTCTCTAGTCATGGTATATGTATAAATTGTACTCTCCCATTTTCAGTTTAATTTTCTGTACATTTGTAATATTTTTGCATTACACTTCTGATATGTATGAGTTAAAACGAGACAAATGATTAAACATTTTACATCTTTACTCTTCTCTACTACGAGTGTTCACCACCAATAGCAGCAGTTAGAATGGGCGGAGTTAACAGGTAGAAAGAGAAAAAAGTACCACGTTTACTGCATGTAAGGCGGATTAAATGTAGTATCTAATATAGCAAAATTAAATTTTCGAGCCAAGGATAATCCTCGCCAATCCAACCAAAATCCCAGCAAATCCACTACCTCAATTACTGAATTATTTCTATCATTCATTAAATAAAATCATATAACATACATACATACAATTGTATATTAGAGGCGTCCAAAAAATATAAATAGGACTTTTTCAATTTCTTCAAAAATTGTGCCATTAAAATTATAGTTTCAAACATTTCAACAAAATCTTGTCTTCTATAATATCTTTCCACTATCTTTCTATAATATCTTTCAAACAAATAAAAGTAGTAAAACAAGAGAAAAATAAAAAATGTTCTCAAAAATATAAAAAGTAAATGAACGAAATTCAAGTAAATTTTGTTTGTTTTTCATTATATTGAAAATTTTAAAACAAATTTATATGAAATTATTTTCCAAACAAATCAATACAGAACAAATTTTGTTTTACTACCTTTTACTCGATAAAAATATTCAAGCCAAAAATAGTAAAAGAGAAAAATATTTTATTTCAACCAGCTTACTATTTTTTACAATTTTTTGTGTACAAAAACAAAAAACTTAACAAAATAGTAAAAAATGGTAAAACTAGTAAAAAATTGTTTGTAAACGAACAGACTTAATTATTATAATATTATAAATTATTAATATCGAACGACAAATAACAGAGTTATAGACGTTTTCTTTTCACAAATACGCAGCAAAAAATTACTACTTAACTTATATTTTACTAATTTTTTGTGTAGAAATTTTTTTTACACCACTTCTGCATGAGAAACAAATACCAAACAATGCAAAAATGCATGATTTTTTAATATATGGCTTGGGAAATTGTCAATAACTTTGTTGTTTGTTCTTTGATATAAATGTTTTATACCTCATTGGATATATAATTTTAGAAGATAAGATTTGGTCGAAATGTTAAGAAAGGATCATTTTAATTGCACAAATTTTGAAGAAATCAAAAAAGTCCTATTATTTACCTAATTTTACACATTTCAGTCGATTTCTGGCACGGGTTCCCGTTATCTGATTTGTCTAAAATTTTACACCAATAAGTTTTAGAAGCTAATGAACAATTCATACATTCCAGCAGTTCAAAAAAGAGTCAATGCATCCGAAAAAGACAGTGATTTCCACTAACGTATAACTACCTGTTTGGCTCTAATTCGCCTTTCGCCAAGGATGTACTCTTGTAAACGAGGGTAAAGATAATCGCCACTTTAGTGTCCCCTTTTTAAGCGGGAGAGTGGACATTTAAAAAACAAATTTAAGCTATTTGTCGTCTCTTCGTAACCTATGGGGTGACGATTGACTTCCTCGCATGACAAGCACATGTTAAAATAGCTAGTCACCTGGCTAGGGGTAACCCTAGAAGTAGGTTAAATAGGTAGTTCGGCACTATCCGACCAAACTGCTGGGATATTAATCGTATTTTTATACATATGGGCAATTTCATGTCAAGTGAAAATTTGCACCAAGGTTATTACTATTGGATAGTAGGCCAAACACAAATTGTCAGCTCTATCGGCCGAAAACTGCCGGAGTTACAGGTCAAAGTTGAACATTTTGGTCATACAAGGTTTTATTAAAATTGGGTCGCTTGACATGAAATTGCCCATATGTATAAAAAATACTCCGGCAGTTCTTAAAATTTGTGTCTGGCCTATTATTCAATAGTACTAACCTTAGTGCAATTTTCATCCAAATCGGAAGACATCGATTTTAAAAGTTGGGTCACTTGTCACGAAATTACCCATATGTATTTACATACATATATATGCCTGTTTCAGAATTGTGATTATGGTACATCATATAAATATTTAAAATGTTTTTCTATCATTCATATGTATTGTATTGTTTAATTTTGTTTAATAAAGTATTAAAAGACAGTTGATTTTCTTTTTTCTTTAGGTGAACGATTAGCGATTAAATTAAAATTAATCCTCGAATGTTGTTTTTGAGTACTCAGCTAATTTTGTTTTTTATAATACACTTACAATTGTCTTCTTCTTTTTTATCTTCTTTAATCTGATTATTAAGTGGCATTTAATTCCCAACTCAAAAACCTGCTCTAAGCGAACTTGACATTAAGTAAATATTTACAAATATTTTTACAAACTGTTTAATATGTCTGGAAATATTTAGTACCATAATTTTTCATAACCAAAAATACAACTTAATAGCATTTTTCGTCAAATTATATTTTAAATCATAAGTACAAATAACGACTTAGTTAAGCTGATCATACGTCCTCTTTCTGTCATCTATTTCCATAGTCTGTCATCTTTAGTTAACTTAATTTTTAAAACCTTGATCAATATTTATTTTTGTAAATTAAAACAATTTTTTTTACAACCGCTTACCGATTTTTTTATCAGTTGTATGGAAAAAGTTTGTTCTGTTCAGACTCTTACTGAACTGAACTTAAGTAAAATCATTTACTTAAGTAATTTTTATAAGTACAGGGTTGTAATATTGTAAAGATTTGCGGATTTATTCATAACAAATTATTTTAGGTTTATTGAACGACCAGTTTTAGGCAAAATATTATATTTTAACAAAACGCCACAATCTTCATAAACATCCTATACAGAAAAAAATATGCACAATTTTTTCTTAACAATTGTTTGTTTAAATTTAATTTCGATTTTTATAAATATTTTTATTTGGGTTTATAACGAGTTTTATTTTCAATGAATATTTTTACTGATTCAATAAATGTTTTTGTTTGAGTTATGTTTTTATGTCTGCATATGGAATACAACAATAAAACAACTTTTGTAATGTGCTAAAATGAATTGATATAATTCTTATTTGGTTTATAACATTTAGGGCCAATCTTTAGGTGAAAGATTAGCGATTAAATTAAAATTAATCCTTGAAAGATGTTTTTGAATACTCAATTAGTTAATTTTGTTTGCAAGTTTAAGCGCCCAACGGAGGTGGTTTAAACTTAAGCACGAAATACAAAAGTGTAAACAGCTGATGCAAAAAGATTAATACAATTTTTATAAATATAAACATTAAAATGTTCTATTTATTGATTAGTATAAATTATGGGCACTTCAAAATACATGTTTTTGTTTTTAATTTAAGTTTTCATTAATTTTCATATTAAATTTACAATTAATTGTCTTCTTCTTTTTTAAAAAATATGCATTGTTTTGATAACAAACAGTGACGTTTTCTGTTGTTTTATATGGCAACACTGCGAAGTTTAATCTTGTACACAAAAACATCAAAGGGGATTTACATAAGATTAAATTTATTTTTAGATTAACTAATCTGATTATTAATTGGCATTTGATTGCCATCTCAAATATCCGCTCTTAATGTATAAGTATTTCAGTTTTAACAGTTCAAAATAAGTTTCAAAAATGAGAAATAAAATTTGGGGTTTCTTACAAGTGTTGTAAGCAGCGTCGTCAGATGTGGGGATTTGTCCCCGACTTGGGGATTTCAAGTTTTTTTGGAGACAGATTTTCGTGGGGAGGGATTTTTTATAATTTTTGAGCTATTTTTGGGCATTTTTATATATTTTTACAAATATTAACAATTATTTTTATTCCAGGTTAGCTTTTTATATAAGGGTCGTTTTCAAATATTGAAATAGGGTTCGCACCTTACCCTCTCCGATTTGAAGAAATTTGGTAAATAAATACAAAATTTAAAGTTCTAAACAGCGTTACCGTTGAAAAATTGCGAGAAGTCGCGCCAAAAGGGACTTTTTCGGAAAAAAGTCGCACTGAAAGGGGATTTTTGACGCAAAAAGTGTCAACGTAGGTAAAATCATTTCATTTGTATTTAAATGTGATTTAAATTGGTAAATAGATCAAAATAATTAACCACATTTTATTTAGTAATAAAATTATAATATTAAAGCTCAGATGGAAAATAAAAATTTAGCCGATACACCCTCTATCAAATTACACTGTGCAACAAAATCTCTCCCGAATGAGACCAACGGGTAATGAAAGTAGACCAAAATCCCTAAAGGGTTTAAAAAAGTTAGCTTGAATTTTTTATTTATAGGCATTTAAAATTTTCAATTTTGTGATCAAATTTCTCTTATATCTCACACCCAATACAATACTGACTCAATTCAAAATTTTATTTCAAAATAATTAACCACATTTTATTTAGTAATAAAATTATAATATTAAAGCTCAGATGGAAAATAAAAATTTAGCCGATACACCCTCTATCAAATTACACTGTGCAACAAAATCTCTCCCGAATGAGACCAACGGGTAATGAAAGTAGACCAAAATCCCTAAAGGGTTTAAAAAAGTTAGCTTGAATTTTTTATTTATAGGCATTTAAAATTTTCAATTTTGTGATCAATTTTCTCTTATATCGCACACCCAGTACAAAACTGACACAACTCAAAATTTTATTTTTGCGTTTTTATATTCTTAATCTAATGAAATAAGTCAATATATTTGACTACTTAAGGTCGAAGGTATTTAAATTTATTAATGTTTATGTCTTATGGGCTTTAATTTCATTTCTATTTAAATAGTTGTTAGTATCTTGATTTATTAAAAATAAAATTAAAGATTTTAAAATTTGTACAGAAGTAAA